AGGGTGCACCAGCCCTGAAAAGGCCAGGCAAAGGTAAATACATTATCTTACATTAAGGTAAAGTAGCTAGTTAAGGATAGTAACTGACAAAAGTAAATTGTTTCAATATGATGGATAGTTCGGAGGCTCTACCATGTAGATAATGTGGGTGATGCTTCTTTGGACGGCTAGGATTTTGTTCTTTGTATAGAACTGAACTTGCAAGTTGTCGCCCACATTGATATTGGTTTCTGTGAGACCGATGTGGAGGTAGTTTTCAGATCCCCCCTGGGGCTTGTAAGCTGTCACAGTCAAAGAGCCTACAGTCTGCCGCTTGTCCGGAATGCCCACAGCCTTAGTCCTTACCTAGAGCAAAAGAAAGAGTCAAAACACAGCTTTATTGATCAATGAAGATGGGTAACAAAAATCTTTAGACATTGAAAAAGGTCTCATTAGTTCTGGAGAGGGGGAAAAAAATTGAAAAAAATATCAATATGGCATCACAGGATTTATTATTTATTTTACAGATGCGTCCAACTACTGTAATAAATGTCCAACATGTGGTCTTCCTAACATCAAAGACAGACATCTGCATTATGGTTGGGAATTCTGTACTTTAATGTGCCTTGCTGTAAGACAACCAATTCTTTTTTTAATTGACTGTCAATGCACCATGATGCTGCATTTAAAGGAACTGCATTTCCCATGACACACAGATGGCTTAATGCCAAGGTGCATTGTGTTGTCATCCAAAACAAATGGAATTGCAAAGCACAGAACTCCTGCACAAGGCAAAACACGGGTCTGGGTAGAATCTAATTTGGCAAATGGTATGAAGTTGTACAGAAAAACAGAACTTTTTGTTGATCTGTAGTAGCGTGTAGTGACCCTGCCTACACCAGCTGTCTCTATTCAATTTAGTGTGTTTACTGCTGGACTGTAGCCAGCCTGGAGATCTATTTTTCTGTGTCCTGCAGTTTTTTTCTAAGCCTGTTAGATTGATTGCTTCCCCTTGTTGCTGGGATGGGGCCTCAGTATACAGAGTAGAAGTGTCAACTACAAGGTTATTTATACGTCTATTACTCTGACTAGTCCCTTAGCGGCCTCACTCAGAGGCATGGCTGGGGGAAGATGACAAATATTTGGAAGCACCTTTCCAGAAAGCTCTCTTTCCTGGGTCTTCTCACTAGGACCGGGATGGCCAAACTCAGGCCCTCCAGCTGTGGTGAAACAACAAATCCCATGAAGCATCTCTCTCCAGGAGTCATGTCTGTGGCTGTGAGAATCTTGCAAAGCCTCATGGAATTCGTAGTTCCACCACAGCTGGAGGGCCGCAGTTTGGCCATCCCTGCACTAGGAGGAGGTCTCTTTGAGGATGTCATGACAGGGCCTGGCCTTTGCATGTGTCATGGCTGTGGGCCTAAGTTACTGCTGGAGTGGACACCTGATGGAAGCTGGGCTGGAAAGGATCTTGTAAAGGACATTGTAAGAAGTATTCATTGCCCATAGATCCAGGTATCACACAGAGGCAACAGAAGCCATTAGGTGCATTACAAAGACTGTGACTGCTCTTACAAGGTCGTAGATTTACCTGGTTGCCCTCTGTCTATCAGTATATACCGGTATTTATTATTGGTATTTATATAGCACCGACAATTTACGCAGCACTTTACACTGTGTGCATTCACGTCAGTCCCTGGCCTCAAGGAGTTTACAATCTAAGGTCCCCAACTCATATCTGTACAAGGCCAATTTATACAGGAACCAATTAACCTACCAGCATGTCTTTTGAGTGTGGGAGGAAACCAGAGTACCCAGAGGAAACCCATGCAAGCACAAGGGGATCATGCAAACTCCTTGTAGTTAGTGACCTGGCCAGGATTCAAACCAGGGACCCCCAGTGCTACAAGGCAGAAGTGCTAATCACTATTGCACGGTGCTGCCCAAAATTTTGGAGGTCGCTCTTGTAGCACCTGATGTTCCTGCTGCTAATATTTCAGAATAACATGTCCTCCATTTTTGTGCTTTTTGGTATCCTGCACCTCTAAACCCTCTCTCCTAAGTTTTTGTGTTCAGCAATGAATCGTAAAAAGATACTAGAGACTTGAGCCTGATCATTACAAGAAGTTGTTGGTGTTGATGGACCTGGAATCAGGGCAGGTAAATGCCAAAACGTGTAGGGGAACCCAACATTACCAGTGGCTCCTGCAGGGGTCATAAGATTGATAGATACATTGATTTAATGGAAACAATTTCAATGATTGCATTTCGTATAGACTGCAGATTCTCCTTTTACTTGCTCTATGCATATGAGGCAGCGGGACCCAAATCATTGCTGCCGGTGTTGTAGCTCCCTGGATGCTGCTGGTATCCAACACATCTGGGGGTGTCGAATACTTGCTCCCCCATTGTACAATGTGATTCCTCCTGCCTGGATACCTGCAGCAGCTGGGAATCAGCAGTTTTAACAAGGTAATGAAGTCTTCTTTTACAGGCTGCCTTTATTTTACTTTCAATCCAGTACTGAGAGAGTCACCTGAAGGGCCCTTTCAGATCTTTGTGCAACTCTCAGTAAGCTGCGGCACTAAGTACCTGAAAAGGAATCTAAAGCTCCTGGCTGAAGATATGAAATTTCTATTTTACTAAAATAATATTTTTTTTATCATTTAATGTATTAGTCCGTAATAAATATAAAATGAAATATCCTCTATACCATGGGTATTCAAACTTTGGCCATCCAGCCCTGGTAATAATACAACTACAGCGCATCACAACACACCCCACCGGACCTATCACACCACACACTGCACGCTACCAAAACACTCAGTTGAATGAGTCCTTACGCCTTCTCTGGGTTCCTTTCAAGCACTTACAAGAATTTTCATCTCCTGGTCTTCAGGTTTAGTGTTTATAATGATTCCAGTTGTGCCATCTGCGGTGGTTTTAGAGCATGCGTTATCCAGCGTACAAAGTTCAACATTTGGGGCTGGGGAGCCATTAGGGTTCTGCAACAAAAGCTGGAAAAAAAAAGTAAAAGGTTAGGGTCTAGAATTGTGTCTAGAAGTAGGTTAGGTTACGGTCTAGAAAGTGAAAAGTTAGGGTCTTAGTAACACCTGAGCAGTTTAGGTCAGTGGTGCACCGCATATGAGAACTGGACCATTTTATTCCATGGCAGTTCCAGTCTATGTGGTTGTAGGCAGTGAAGTCTGAGAGCTAACACATATATTAGACATAAAACTAAAAGAGAAGAGCAATAAACAAAACTTATTGCGCAAGTGGGGAATATAATGCACATCATGTATGTAATGGCCAAATATGGTTGCCCCCATACAGTTATTAAGGCTAGTTTCACATCTAGGCGATTGAGCTGGTGAGCTGTTTTCGTGCGGTTGTCACGCGTTTTTGTTTGCACGATTTTGCTTTGAAAACCGTGTGATTGTTGCGTGGTTTTCAATGCATAGAGATGTCTATAAGACCCAAACCGTGCAACAATGGCCTGAAAATAGCTCATGCACCTTTTTGCGCGGCAGGCGATTTCTATCACAAAGGTCACAAATCACAAAGGTGTGAACAGCTTCCATAGACTTGAATGCAAATGTCTGTTTTGCGCGATAAATTGCCTAAGTGTGAACCTAGCCAAGACCATTTAAATACAAATGGAAAAACAGGGTCGGTCACACCCAAATGTGCTATTTTAGGTATAGCTGGTGTTTGGTGAGTTGAGTCAGCCTCCGGCTTCTATGTTTTAAATACCCCAGCAGTGGGATCTGCCTGCCATAATTCAAAATTCTGCTCCTGTCCACCTTGGACCTTTGAGTGTGACCCTAACGTTTGTGTATTTCAGCTTTTCCTGTTACATTCTCCATGATGTAAAATCAACATAAAATCCAGCAGGAAGAGTTGAAGCCCCTCATAATGGGCTCAGCAAGTGTGAACAGTTGGGTCCTCAGTGCAGGTATCTCACCAATAGAGTCCCTGAGAGATAGAAGAGACAGTCAGGTGGTTAATCTTTCCAACATACACAGAAATTATGAAATATTAGTTGTCCAGCCTATTGTCCTGAATAAAGTATACTGCAATGTGAATAGCAGAAAGGTGTTCCTGCTTCCTGACGCAGTGATGCATGAAACAATGTAAAGTAGAAAGCACCTTTAAGGTTTAAAAGATTGGCTCACCATTCGGTGGATTTAAAGGGACAATAAACTCAGGAGTTATATTTTAAAAATGCACTCAAGTACCTTAACTATTAAAAAAGGTGACCCCTATTTGTGCATCACTCAGCTGTAGATCTTCAAATCATCTCTGAATTGGTGTTGACACTGTCCTTCCTTCTGGAGAGGGGGGGGGGGGTACTTTAGTTCCCCATGGTCCCTGTGTGTGTTGTAAAGTAGCCACAACTCCAAGGTCGCTCCCATGATGGACTACAGTCTAGTAGTCCTACTACAATCTAGTATTACAATCTAGCAGTTTATTAATTTGTATTGAAATTAGGAATGCCAGTTTTTCAGTATCGAGTACGAGTACCGATATTTTGCTGTCGGTACTCGCTGATACCGAGTACCATACCGGTGCTTCCGCTGGCATAGATCCAGCTTCCTGGGCTTCCTGGGCGGGTAATGACACACTGCCCGGCTTCCTGATTTCCCAAGAATCCGGCTCCATGTTTGTCTGGAAAGCTGGCTATCCAGCCAATCAGCATGAAGCCAGCTTCCTGGCCAATCAGGAGACAGGCCATTACTCGCCACCCGGCTTCCTGATTGCCTGGGAAGCTGGCTCCATGTTCCCCTACGGCAATGCCGGTCAGAGGAAATCTTCCTCTGACCAGAGAAGTTCCGGTATCAAATACTCGATATCAGCACAGATACCGATACTAGTATTGGTGCATCCCTAATTAGAATTATAGTCTATCACAGGAGTGAGCTTAGAGCGGTCACTAATTTACCACACACACAGTGACCATGGGGAACAAAAGTAGCCACCCTCCAGACAGTGTCAGCACCAATTCAGAGATGATTTGCGGATCTACAGCTGAGTGACGCTCAAATAAAGTTCAGTTTTGTTAACAGTTAAGGTACTTGAATAGATTTTTAAGATGTAAGTTGTGAGTTTAGCGTCACTTTATTCAGCCACTGACTTTTCATATCTTTGTGTGACTATGGCTGAAGAGATCGCTCTGACAGTTTCCCATTCTGCTATTCCTTCACTCTACTTGTTGCATCAAGGAGTCACATTTTCTGAAAAGTAAAATAAATGAAGCCTCTACAAAAATTGGTAAGGGTAAGCCTTACTTGTACCTGCCAAAGCATACATTGGACATCCTTACCTTGAGCAAATAAGGCATTGAAGGCTTGAAGTGTTTGGAGGTCTTGGTGAAAAGCACATTGAATGCGGTGTTGACCACCGGTATCCCCGTCTTCACTGCTTCCACCTTATCACTGCCTTAGGGACAGGAAAGAAAAAGTTAGAGTCGCCCTTTTATGTTGAAACTCTGGACTGTTACTATATACTTTTCCTACCTGCACTGGTCACCACAGTCACACTGACATAGAGAGACTTTCCGAGGAGGAAGGACGGGTCAAGTAAGAATGGCCTGGGGATCATGTACCTTTCCAGTTTCACATCTGCTTTCCCTTTATTAAGCTGGAAATACAAAAGGTCTGCATTCATGGTCTTGGTTATAGGATAGTTAGGACTGATCAGGTTGAAGGTGGTTGGAGAGATCACAAATGGGTCCTAAATGTTTTTTTTTAGAATGACGCTATACCTCTAGCCACATCCAACCAGTGGAATGGACATTTTCTGGTACTGTGACAACAATGACATGCACATTTGTTCTGCACTTAACCTGTTGACTTGTATGAGGAGAGAAGCAGTTCTGATACAAACAAAAGTCTATATACACGTGCCCTTAGACCTTATTGACATAGTAGAAAAGCAGTGATTACAGCAAGCATTTGCAGAGCTTTGGGCAAACTTTGTCGAAGCCTTTAAAGTACCATTTTGCTCCAGTTTGAGAATGTTAAACACAGATCTTAATGGGAGTGTTGTTTGTGCAATTTTTACGCTTGACATGTTTGGTGTCTATTTACCCGACGTGACCCGATCTTTTATATTTTATCAAAACAGTGGGTAATATTAGTTGTTTTATAGCATAATGTAATTTCAGTAATTTCTCCTGAATATAGTAAAAAATAAAACCCGCAGTGGTGATTAAATACCACCAAAAGAAAGCTCTATCTGTCCCCAAAAAATGGTATAAAATTCATTTCAGTACAGCGTTGCGTGACGGAATAAATGTCAGTCAAAGTACCGCAGCGCTGAACACTGAAAAATGGCCTGGCCAGGTAGGGGATCTAAACACCTGGTCTTCAAGCGGTTAAACAAGCTGACGTTGCAGACGTCATTAAGCTTGAGCACTACTTGAAGCTTTTTGAATACCTGCTGAAGCCTGCCAGCAGAATTTACAGCCAGAACTTCCATTCAAATATGTGTTTAAAGACTAAGAGCACCTTTCTGTCCATGTTTCATGGTACGTCCATATGAAGGGTGTAACATGAAACATGGTCAGATTGCAGACCCCCCACCATTCTCCCGTCCACCCACTTACCTGAATCACAGGGTTCTTCCCCCCACTAGTTTGTTTCTCCTTTTTAAATTCAACGTGACTGTGCGTGCCTCCGCTCACCCAGCCGTGTCCATTCATTCCCACTAGTTTGTTTCCCTTTTTGAATTCAACGTGACTGTGCGTGCCTCCGCCCACCCAGCCGTATTCATTCTAATATATCTACGGCAGAAGGACTTATAGTGTCAATGGAGATTATCACACTTGTAGTCCATTGACACTTCCTCCCAGCCATGTAATTACATGTCTGTACATTGGGTTGGTGTGGATGGGAGGAAAGGTCTTCAGGAGCAAGATTACTGCACCCATGATCTACTGATAATGGTTGCAATGCTTTAGTGGCTCCTATACAAAAAAAATAATACATGGACATTTTTATGAAGAAGTCTGCAAAAGGTGGAACTTTACCATTCTGAAACTGGATCTTAAGTTTTCTTTAAAAGTTTCAACAAAGCTGTTTGAACCTTGCCGACATCTTCACAAAAGCTGTTCACACTATTCTTATACAAATTGAAGTCCTAGCCGATAGCCGACTGCGAAGTCAGCCCAGTTCTCCAGGAAACCAAAACCTTCCTTCTGACACCTGGCCTTACTGTGACCAAGGCCTTACTGTGCTACAGTCTCCAATCAGTTTGAAATATACCTTTAAATTAAAATAACAAGAAAATAATTACTGGGGAGCGTGTTATCTATTTGTCTTCTGCTAGCTGTGGTAGGTCTCTGATTGACATCTTTCTCATAACTGGAAATTACCTCTATTTTGAACTTCATAAACGGTTTTCTCTTATTTTGGTTGATGGAGAATAAGCCTTTCACTACTAACTGACTTCCTGGAAGGAGAAGACTTCCCCACGTTTATGTTTCCATAGTGTCCTCTGGTGGAGTCTTTGTGTGACTCTATGTAGAACTCAGAACTGCCATCCTCAAAGCACAGAAAGTGAGAGAGCTTGAGATAGCAGTGACCAACTGACAAGGGGGTCTCATGCTCCCCCATCTCCCAAAATGGAGGAATTTGTTCTGGGTAGAGTTTCTTTTGGTGACACCATATAATCTATGGGGCACCTTCTTGTCTGTACTTTCTGAGCTGCTCGTGTTCATTGTTCTTACCGTAATATTGGTGAGAGAATCAGGAAAAATCTTCTTCTCGTTATTAAGAATCACTCCGAACATGACGAGACCGAAACCTTCCACCGGCTTCCCATGGAGATAACTAGATTGTATAGAAATTGTTAGGCATTGATGTTTACAATTATTGTTAAGAGGGCGTCATCATTATTTTATTTTTGAAGTAGAAATCAACGCATGTGTATAACTTTTTTCAGCTATGAATTGGGTAGCACGAGTAAAAGCCAATGTCAAATGATTATTGTTTTCTAGGTTCCTGGTGGGGAAATTTGTGCTCACTTCATTCCTTGGCATCACATATCATGAGGACAGGAAATGAGAACCACAGACAGCACTAAAAAGTGAGAAAGATTCTAACCCTTCCCTACTTTGTATGAGAAGGTGGCGGGATAGACACAAAATCTTTTTCTGGATGTCATATCCTGGACTTCACATCAGCTACTTCCTCATAGAGCACATAGGATAACATGTATGGGTGAAAATAAAAATGAATGAAGGTTCTCACTTTGCTGTAATTGTCACAGTGAAGTCATTTTCATCCACATAGAAGTGATTCTGAGGAGTGTCCAAAAAGACTTCGAAACTTGGCAGAACTACGAACAAAGAGAATATATGTTTCAATAACTTAACATTCAAAACTTTCTCTAAGAACTAGAAGGTGATCTACCTATGTGGTTTATGGGCACCAATCAAAAACTAGGGATGTCCCGATACCATTTTTTCAAGACCAAGTACAAGTACTTCCCCTCAGGTACTCGCCGATACCAATTACCGATACTTTTTCTTAAGGGACATGTGACATTTTTTCTAAAACAACACAGACTAATGATTTTAGGGCAGCTAAAATGATCCACTGCTAGTCTCAAACATTGGCAGTCAACAATGGCGGTCTACAATGTTAGTCAACAATGGCAGCAGTCTACAGGCCGAACTGAACCGGTCCAATACCCTTCAGTGCTGACAACATGCATGGAGGCCAAGGAATTTGCTCACATGACCTTTGTTGAAAGGGAGAATCAAAGATCAAATTGTCCAAATGCCTTTCATGTCAGAGATCATGTGGCCAAGATAGGGTTGCCACCTGCCCAGGATTCCGGACAGTCCGGGTTTTGAATGCTGTGTCCTGGTTTCATGGCAGCAGAAACCCGGACACAAGATGTCAGGCAGACAGGGGCAACCAAAATTAAGATAGGGGCTACTGGCCCCACACTGGATATAGTCTTAACCGTGATATTTACATATGAATAAGCCACAACTCAATCTCCCTGAAAAATGTCCGTGCGTCGCTAGAGTGTTCGGGTTTCGCTTGAAGAAAAAATGGTAACCCTAGGCCAAAAGCCTAAGCCTCCAGATGAGGCCAGCACTAAAGTGAGCTAGCTACAGCATTTCTCCAAGAAAAATGTGTATTTAGGCATTTCAGTAAGGGATCGTTCACACTATATGCGGTGACTGGCATTTCTAAGCAACAACGCCAGTCACCACTAAGGCACATAGAAAACTGTCTTCTATGTGCCCTGTACACACCACAATGTAGGTGTGCATTGTACATTGCATTGCTGGTTGGGGACCTGAATGGAGTGTACAGTACAAGAGAAAAAATGAGTAAGCAGTCCCTCGAGTTGGAACAACGCAAGGCACTGTGGCTTACCACTGCCACTCAGTGGACACTAACCTCAAGGAAAAATGCAGCTTTGTACTATGTGTGTGAATGAGCTCTTAGTCTTTATATACCCAATAATGCAAGATTGTCCACTGAACTGCATGTTAACATTTAAAGGAAGAATTATTCAAACCCTCCTCCCTCTCCCCCTGTTGTCCTCTGGATACGCTGATCCTGAATTAGACTTCCCAGAACATAAGGCATGGTAGCAGATTCAAAGTACTGTATAAATAGAAGGAGTGTAGAATAATCTATTTCTGATGAATAAGGGGAAAATAATAAGACTGCCACAGTACTATTAGAGAGACTTTGTTGGGTGGAGTTGGGAATTCCTGCCTGCATTATTGGATGCTCAGGATTATGTGTTCCCAGAGCAGCACAATGAAAAACAAAAGCCCTAAGCGGGCAGTCTATGTCTTCTGTAGACATTGCCATGTTATACCACCACTGTAGCCATAGCCGGATTTACTCTTTCTGCTGCCCCAAGGCCAGGTTTGTCAATGCGCCCCCCTACCCGCCAACCCGCCAACCCCTCCGCCCCATGGAGAATGGCAGACCTGCAGGCTGCATACAAGTGATCTCGGTGACTAGTGGCGGCTTTCCCGCTGTACATTTAGCTCTGCTTGCTCAAAGCAGGGCTAAATGTATAAAACAACTACCCACCTAGCACCCGGAACTGCATGTCGGGAGATAGGAATTCCACACCCCTGCTGCCCCAAGGCCGGGCCTTGGTTGGCCTTGTGGGAAATCCGGCCCTGACTGTAGCCCTGGAGACCTATATGAAACTGTTATGCATCTACCAAAAACTGAATATTAGGCTTGGCTGAACAGGCCAAATTGGGAATAATTTTTCTATCAAGTGAAATGTTTAATTAATGATTGTCAATGTCAAGGAGCACAAAGATTCCAGGCCGAAATATCCATATTTATCTACAAACTCTCAGCTGATGATCCCATAGCACATTCTTCAATTCTGTAGTATACAAGACTTAGCTCAAAAAAACAATCTACACAGAATGTCTGCTTTGTCTCACCCCAAACCTTGACACACTGACAGGAAGACCACCTGGGTGGAGATCTATTCAAATGTTTAGGCCACAAGCCGCCATCCTCCAGCTAGGTAACAGTAAATGGCAGACGCTTCTCCAAACATTATAATTACAATACAAAACCATTTATTAAACACATGCTCTGTGACAGCGAACACCATTGATGTACTCACCATATTCCTTGACCTCAAACTCTGTGAAGAAGACATCCTGAGGAGCCACTTGGAATTTACAGGTGATGTTCCATATTCCATCACTGCAAGACAAACAGTCTGAATAGGCAGGATGGAAGAGTGACCATGTGGGATGATTTACTGTGGCAGGACAATGATGATGTTCAGAAAGTAGTGATAACCCACCAGATATCAAATTACTGTATGATATGTTTCTTCCTGGTTGCTGAGTGCCACTGCTCTTTACTCTTTGGGATCTATTTATAAACAATTCACAAGGCTCTTTGAATATCTATGAATGTTCATTTTGTCAAATAATTCCAAAAACGAATGTTCTTAATATATTTATCACAATCAAGCGGGTTGATGGGAAATGGACTGCAGCTGCAGAACTGTTGAGTAGGCTGTATGGGATTGGGTCAGTCAGGCGACTCACTACACACTCAGTGCGCTAGGAAGCCGTTCCACATCATGTATCCCAGCCTAGACTTGAGGGAAGTTAAATTTAGTGTGAACGGGGTCTGATGGGACTGTAGCATAAAACAGCTCGGGATTCTACAGGGTTATATAACTGAAGACACTACCACAGCTGTTGGGCTCACTATAGCTAACAGCAATTCCAGGAAATAAATCAGCAGTATGGATTAATGCAATTATATATCATAGTCATGAAATGTTTCAGCAATATGAATTGATGCAGGTATTTAGTTTAGACAACATGGATTGATGCAGGTATCTAGTTTAGACAACATGGATTGATGCAGGTATCTAGTTAGACAATATGAGTTGATGCAGGTATTTAGTTTAGGCAGGCAATCCTCCAGTAGTAGGAATTGATGCAGATTTTTAGCTTAGAATAGGTAATACTGCAACAGTATGGGTTCAGGCAACTGAACATGTAGTCCCATGTAGAGCCTGGGCCCTGATACTTGCGGTTAAGGTGTCAACCCCGTGAAGATGTCTTTCCTTGCAAAGGCTGAGAGGCACTGTAGTGAGGAGCTGTGTCCGAGTGCACTGCAGGCTGAGCAGCGTGTGGGAGCCGGACTGGTTCAGTGGAGACAGTGGAGGCAATCGCTCAACGTTCCACATTGACTGAACGCCGAGTGATTGCCTTCACTGGGTTTATAAGACCCACGCCGAGCCCAGGGGGCGGATCCCCGCGTGACGTAACGGCCGGAGCGCCGCGTGATGTCACGACCGGAGCGACGCGGCGCCGGAGCGGCCGGGGGTGCCGAGGACGAGCCTGACAATATTTTTTCCCAGTTCAAATGTAGTGTTGTAATATTACATTATGGCCACTAGATGGAGCTGAGGAGCATAGGAAAAAAAGCTTTTTCCTATGCTCCTCAGCTCCAACTAGTGGCCATATTGTAATATTACAGCACACTACATTTGAACTAGGAAAAGCTCCATCTAGTGGCCATAATATATTATTAAAAAACTGCATTCAACCTGGAAAAAATATATTAAGAATGTTCCTTTTTGCCATTTCTCACCCAAAACGATTGTTTACAGGCAAAAGGCCCTGCAAATTGTTTCTAAATAGATCCCAAAGTATTCTACTGTGTTATATTTCTCTTTGTGATAAGTTAAAATGAATTTTAAGGCATAGTCCACATTTGGATTAAGAGATATAATGTATTCAGTACTGAAACTAAAGTTGGATATTTTTTGTTTCTGGACAAAAGATTTTCAGTGTTTGTGTGCAGTATGGAAGCATGGTGTTAGACCTGCAAAGGTGTGGATGTGAAATATACTGACTTAACTAAGAAAACGTTTGCTCACTTCCTGTCTTTGTGGCCACAAATGTAAGGGAAATCCCTCCAATAAAAAAACGCATAGGTTCTAACCCTTTCCCACTCTCTCCTAAACTCAAAAAAATAATTGGCCAGAGCCATGCTTTGAAATAAAGTCCTATCTAAAATGAAGCCCCACCTAATCCCGGATGTTATTTTTTTAGACAAAAAAACAAAGTTATTTCTGCGCATTTAGTTTAATTTTGTTACTGGGGCCTGATGTTCCCTGACTTCAAGAAAGCACCTTGCAAACTTCTATTCCAGTGTCCAATGACTTAGTAAGTCAGTAATCGCTTCTTGGACTTTTGGTAGTATCTGTTCTTATCAGTTTCTGTGGAAGAGCAGTGTTGTCTTCCAACTGAAAGATGACAGTCTAGTATTCCCTGGAGTAGTAGGTGGGTGCCGGGGGGGTCCTTTCTTCCTAGGTTGATTATGGCCTGGTGCACCAAGCTTGTACTCGGTTGTAGGCAGAAACCACCTGGTGCTAATGCCTTCTGGTGGAAATGGGGCTGCTCTCGTCTGGTTAGCAGGCTGAGAAGGCAGAGAGCCTGTGGTGCTGTGCCCCTTGGGGGTGGCATCCCAGGGGTGCCAGAGAAGCACTATAGGATTCGGGACCCCACAGTGTTTCACTGGCACTTGGTCAAGGCACCTTAAAGCTGATTTCCTGCACTACACTTCTCAGGCAGGCCTATTGGCGAGCTCGGACCAATTTGTATCGTGGCCAGGAAGGCCTGCCTTGTGTTACATTTGGCACTTATTTATTTATTAAATTATTGATTTAGCAATGATCTCACATAACTTTTCTCTCGCTCTGTTACACAGACTAATCCTTGTTGAAAAGTCTTTTCCAAGTGACCATTCAGCCCCAAATCAAACATGGATCAACACAAGTAGATTATGATGTTTGGACATCTTCTGGCTTAGTCAATAACATAAGTGCAAAGGTGCAAAGTGCAGTTCTAAAAGCAACCAATCGGAATCCACATTGTTCTTGCCTAATTTGTAGAGAGACGGGAATTCGGGTTATTTGCTCTGACTTACTACACTTTGCTCCTTGCACTGTCTATTGACTAATGCCACTGCTGCTTTCATTTTATCACTGGAACAAGCCTTAGGGCTTATGACCATCGCTGACATTTTCTGCACCCTTCATGTTTTTTCTGTATCCAGATCTTTTCGGGACTATTCACTCTAATTTTCATTGGGTTTCATTCTTAAAGGCCGGTTCATTTTGCCATTTCTAAATGTTACAAACAGTGGTGTAACTAGAAATCACAGGGCCCCATAGCAAACTTTTGTATGGGGCCCTGTGATTTCTAGTTACGCCCACCTGAGATCCCAAACAGCCGACTTGAGAGTGACCCTGCAGAGCCCACCATAGCCTCTCTATGGTGGGCTCTGCAGGTTCTCAGTGGGCTGGTGAAACCCTCTTACCTGTCTGCCCCGATCCGCTGTCTGCCTCCTCCTCCTCCAGAGTCGCTGGTGGTCCCAGCAGTGGCGTCACAAGGAGGGTGCGGCCCACACCCGGGTGACACCATTGGAGGGGTGACACCAAAATGACTCACAGTCATTTTGGTGTCACCCCCCTCAGAAAAGTCGGGCGCTCGGTCATGGACCGAAAGCCCGACAGTATCAGGAGAGAGGAGGGGACCGGCGGCATACCTTATCCCGCCGGGTGACTGTACCAAGATGGCCGCCGGCAGGTATCAAAATACTGCCGCGCGTGCGCGATGACGTCATCACGCACACGCGTGGTAACGTCACGCACATGCGCAGTGACGTCTCGGCGGGGTGACACTCGGTTACCGA